TTGGCGCGCTTGGTTTCGCTCTCTCAGGTTTGAGAGGCGTCAAACAGCTGATTCGTGTCTCCAGTGTAATGAGGCAGGAGCGAACAGCAGAATCCTAATGCTGTTTCCACCGACTGATCATCAGCCAAGACAAAGCCACAAGCAGACTCTGAGACTGCACTAATCTGCCAAACTCCGTTTGTGAGTGTTTACGCTGGTTGTGAATCTTACTGTGTGTAATAGAATCTGAGGAATACAAATTTAAATGATGTGGCAATCATAGCTAACACAACAACTAGCAAGTCCAGGACACAAGCAAATTTTGCCAAAAATCCAGCCAGGTGCTCTGCTAAGCTGACAAGAGACATTTGTTGTGCTTCAAACGCTGTTGTGCAAATGCTTTGTGCACAAGAGTTCTTAACCAAAACTAAATTAAAGGGATAGTTCACACAAAAACGAATCATTTACTCACCCTCATGTTGTTTCAAACCTGTAAGGTTCTTTCTTATGTTGAACATAAGATATTTTAAAGAATGCTGGAAATCAAACAGGTGATGGCCCCCATTGACTTCCATAGTATTTCGTTCCCTGCTATGGAAGTCATTGGGGACAGCTGTTTGGTTCTTCTTCAAATTATCTTCGTTTGTGTTTTGATGAAAATTTCTGAATTTTCATTTTTGGGGTGAACTATTCCTTTAAAACTTAACACAAAAACTAAATGACAACATTTTCATTAAATAAAAATGTGTTTGGAAAAAAAACGGAAGAAAAATTCAATAATAAAATGCATGACCACAAAATAACGAAAAACAAAAAATCAAATACAAAATAAACGATTTAAAAATAAAATAACTAACTTAAATGTGACCCTGGACCACAAAACCAGTCATAAGGGTCAATTTTTCGAAATTGAGATTTATACATCGTCTGAAAGCTGAATAAATAAGCTTTCCATTGATGTATGGTTTGTTAAGATAGGACAATACTTGGCTGAGATACAACTATTTGAAAATCTGGAATCTGAGGGAGCAAAAAAATCAAAATACTGAGAAAATCACCTTTAAAGTTGTCCAAATGAAGTTCTTAGCAGTGCATATTACTAATCAAAAATTAAGTTTTGATATATTTATGGTAGGAAATTTACTAAATATCTTCATGGAACATGATCTTTACTTAATATCCTAATGATTTTTGGCATAAAAAAAAAATTATAATTTTGACCCATACAATGTATTTTTGGCTATTGCTACAAATATACCCCAGCGACTTAAGACTGCTTTTGTGCTCCAGGGTCACATATATAAATAAATCGTTTGTTTTTGTATTGTATATGTTTATAGCGTGCCCTCATTACACATGAAAATGTTGGTAGATTTGAGATATCGAGCCCTGAAAATGGTTTAAATGTTATCAGTATTATGTATTAACTTCGGCAGCCCTAAAATACTAAAACTAAAACAAAAACTACATATATTGTAAAACTAAACTTAAACTAGGTAACACTAGCTTCCATTTTATACAGTGACTACAGAACTCTATTAAAACTAAGCTACTGAAAGGACAAATTAAAAATTAAAATTAAAAAAATACAATTAAAAATGACAATTAACCTGCTAAATTGTACATTTCAAATGTAATATCTATGGTATTTTGTAATAAAAATAAAATTGTTAATGCATGGTTAATCTGGTTAATATTAATGAAAAAACTGATGAAGAAATTCAAAGAACAAACCTGTCATTCTAATTCACACATTTGGTGTTTTTGCCTGCAGCATTACTGCACGACAAATACATTAAGTCGAAAGAAATGCATTCCTTCTCGGTCACAACTGGTCTAACAACATACACAGGAAAAACACTTTTACTTTCATGATGGTGAACAGACCTGGGGAACGCTGACAGCTGAATGCTTGCAGTAAATGCGGGAAAAAATGTCTAATCTTTTAGACTTCACATAAGTAACTTCTTTATTCCTGCCTGAACATAATGTTTCGCTTTGCACTATATTTCACTGCACAGAGAGAAGAGGGGGAGGAAGTGCTATAAATTCAGTCGATCCTTTCCTTGATGCCACAATGGTGTGTATTCACAGAGAAAAGCTGTGTTAGTACTGTGACTGGCTTAGACTGACTCCAAACAGACAAAGACAGATGGTGAGAAACACACTGTTAGTAAGAATCATCAACAAACACGTATAACAGGTATTAGAGGACACTAAAAACTATACCATATATTCAAGATTAAAAACAAGCACACTTTACATTAAATACGTGGTTTTGTGCATTGTTTTATTTGAAAATATTTGATACACTGGACTTTGCACTGCAAGTCTCATGTCAAGATACATAAACATAATCATATATTGTGTATCTAACCTATTGGCTCGTATTCTTTTGCTTATCCCAGGGTTCTCAACTAGACTTAACTCTGACATTTCTCTGAGACATTTCTCAATCTTTGGTACAATACTGATTCTTAGCTGCCGAAACAAAAACTAGCAGCTATTTGAGATCTTATTTGAGCCATTCAACTGTTTTTGAGGAGGCCAAAATACTATCAAAACAATAGAAAAGAAGGACAAGTGGTGTTGTCAGTGTTGGTGTGCCCGTATGACGGACACCTGTCACTCAAACCCTGAGCTAAACAAAGTTGTCAAGCTGAGTGGAAACTCGCCCGTGGCATCCACCTACCCTTTCACTTGAGCAATACCCCATGATACATTTCCAAAGAAAGCATCGTGCCTTTTCACACCCTTTTCTGAGTTCCTCATAAACATGCCTAGTCTCACGTACTTGCTCTCAGTATAATAACACTTCTTGCATTCCGAAAAAATTCAGAATTACACAAACATTCAGAAGTTTGGGGTCAGTAAGATTTTTTTTTTAAATGCTTTTAAAAAAGACTCTTGTGCTCACCAAGGCTGCATTTGATCAAAAATATACCAAGAACAGTAATGTTATGAAAATGTATTACCACATAAAAAAAGCAGTTTTTTGCTTTTAATTACTATAATGGCAAAAGTGAATTTACTTCGTTTTAGTGTCACATGATTCTTCTGAAATCATTCTTTTATATGCTGATTTGCTTGTATGATCAAAAACATTTTTATGTTGAAAACAGTTGTGTTGCTCAACACTTTTGAGGAAACGTTGATACAAGATTCTTTGATGAATAGAAAGTAAAAACAAATTGAGAAAGTAGAAATCTTTTGTAACATTATACATAATCTTTACTGTCACTTTTGATCAAATTAATGCGTCCTTGCTAAATAAACATATGTCACCCTGGACCACAAAACCAGTCATAAGGGTCAATTTTTCGAAATTGAGATGTATACATCGTCTGAAAGCTGAATAAATAAGCTTTCCATTGATGTGTGGTTTGTTAGAATAGGACAATATTTGACCGAGATACAACTATTTGAAAATCTGGAATCTGAGGGTGCAAAAAAATCAAAATATTGAGAGAAATTGAGATGTATACATCGTCTGAAAGCTGAATAAATAAGCTTTCCATTGATGTGTGGTTTGTTAGAATAGGACAATATTTGACCGAGATACAACTATTTGAAAATCTGGAATCTGAGGGAGAAAAAAAATCAAAATACTGAGAAAATCACCTTTAAAGTTGTCCAAATTAAGTTCTTAGCAGTGCATATTACTAATCAAAAATTAAGTTTTAATATATTTACAGTAGGAAATTTACAAAATATCTTCATGGAACATGAATTTTTGGCATAAAAGAAAAATCAATAATTTTGACCCATACAATGTATTTTTGGCTATTGCTTCAAATATACCCCAGCGATTTAAGACTGGTTTTGTGCTCCAGGGTCACATATTATTTCTCTCACAAAAAATATTACTGACCCCAAACTGTGAATGGTAGTGTACATTAACTTTAATACCATTTTAATTTTCTTAACATAAAAACTAAATCTTTCTTTTCCACATCTTATTTTTCCTTTCAACACTGTAACTCTGAATACATAAGGCAAATATCAAGTCCTTCATAAGTGGCAGCAAATGTGAATATCTGTGTGTACATGCATTTCTGAGAATGATTCAAGGCACTGGTCACTTCCTGTGACAACCTGCATCAAAATCCTGTCTGCAATGAGATTCTCCCCGATATCCTCAGGTGAACAAGCAGACAGAAACAGACACACAATAAACACTTAAAAACATGAGTACAGAAGACATAAATCGCCAGAGCTCAATTTCCAGCCAGTAATAAACACATGTAAAATCATGCTGTAGTCTCTGCAAAACCAGCTGCTGTTACAATTCTTGTTTCTAACTCATCTTCTGTTCCTAAAAGCATAACTCGGTTCGGAGTCACTATATAAAAATAGATTTATACACATACATATATAGATATATTTATACTCGTATATAAAAATGGCTGACCATTGGGACATAAATAAAAGTGAAAAAAGCTTCACATTCTGTGTAACAAATGAACAATTTGGTATATTCAACATTCATATTCAAAAGTGCATCTGATCCAAATGAGTCCAATATACTGCCATAAGACACTTAAGGCACAACACTTTCTAAATACCTTTTCTTTGGCAGGGCTGGAGAGAAAACTAATATACAACCTAATGTGCTCTCATTATCTCACCACACACAACACACCCCTTTTGAGATTCCCAATTTAACATCTCATCCTCACTGTAGGAATACTAAAGATTAGCTGCATCTTAAGTACTGCACTGCTGCTCTCTACAGGACACTATAAGGCACTACTGCGGTACAAAACTACGTATTAAACTTCAACCACTATAACCTCATGCCCTGACCCTCGGCATCTGACCTCAGTCAAAAAACGAGAATAAACTGCTTTCTGTAACAGACTAAAACAGTTCTTATAAACTATAAATCAAGGTAGTGCAATTCGATGAAGATTAATTGATATATATATATATACGATTAATCACGAATGCAAACCATATGAGACTGACGTGCGTAGCTGCTTTCTGTAACAGACTAAAACAGTTCTTATAAACTATAAATCAAGGAAGTGCAATTCGATGAAGATTAATTGATATATATATATATATACGATTAATCACGAATGCAAACCATATGAGACTGACGTGCGTATGACCCTCAATCATCTGAGGCAGGAACAAACCGGGACACAATTATTACGTTTCCTTTAACACTAAGTGCCTGGAGTCAAAGAGACAATGGGCGCACACGGGAATCCGTGTGGAAGGGGAAATGGCACATAAAAACACTGACTTCATAACTCTGCTGTGGACTGTATGAAACATTCATTACTAGGACACTTTCTTGATGTCTGAAAAACTCATTCAGGGGTCAGTGAGATTGACCCTGTCGGCTTTAGAAGGCACATTTGGCAGTTGTTGTAAGAAGCAGCTCAGTGGCTCAAACAGTATCATGTCTGTTGCATCTGCTAATCCTGGGACACCATCAATCTGTTTATTTCTGTAATGAAGAGCATGTGCATCATGAAAGTCCTGTAGCGCCCTCTGCTGTCCCAAAGACATCGCATTTCAAGCCATTAGAGAATAAACCAGTTTTTTGACCTAATCCTGGCGACAACCCAGATTGGGTGCTGGCAGGTCACATGCTGTGGAAATGCAGATTGCCTTTGAAGCTGAGTTTATCACTCTTTAACAAGAAAAATGAGGGTTTTTAACCCGTGGAAGCAGCTAGAGGGAAAACCTCAGCACAAGATCTGGGAGAAGGGATGTCTGAGCAGCTCCTCTGCACTCGGCCGGTATTTGGCCTCCACGAAGATGCAGCGGAGGAAGTCCCGCGTGTGCTCGGAGATGTGAGAGGGCAGCTGGGGGTTGGTGGGCTGAGTGGCAATCTTAAATATGGCTGCCATGGCCTCGAATTCAGCCCACGGAGGCTTTTCTGTCAACATCTCCACCACAGTGCAGCCTAGACTCCTGTTCACACAACACAGTTCAAGAAAAAGGACCCATTAGGTCACATTATATTTCTTTAACATTCCACATGTTTTCTAGTACTGTTTTAAAGTTTCAGTAAAGGTATCAATTTTTTTTTATAGGATTTTTGTTTAAATTGTTGTTTCAAGTAAATTTATCTTGTTTTATGGACATTTATAGACATTTTTAATTGCAAAATAAGCTGAAAATCCTGATTAAGAATGATTTTTTGCAGTGTTATATGCTAATAGACTATCTGATCTAATAGACAACTCTTGTGAGCTGATTTTCAGCCAATCATAATGCTCTCCTGACCTGACCGGAGACTGCCCAATCAGTTTATGTGGGGGAATCCCTGAGCAGTAACTAAGCCACTCCCACCGACTGAGAATCTGTGCACTTCTCAAGGACATAAAATAACCTAATTCTTTTTCTCCTACTTAAACATTTGTTTATAAATCTTTCTTTGTTAAAAATAGGTTCTTAATATTAAGAGTATGTTGCTTTTTTAGACTCTGCAACATTGATCACAATCATGTCTGCTTAAAAAAACAGTTTACCGTAAAAATGTGACTCTTAGACTAGATCTTAATGGTGATAAATTATTGAGAGCATCGTACCATTCCACAAATCCCAGCTGCATTCTTCCCTCTACTACGATGAGATTTTGAACATATTTTAAAGGTTTTTAGGTTCCCATGATGGAAAACGAAGATGGAAAATGCTGTTCCAAAGCATTTTTTTCTAAACCTCATAAAGATGTGTGCACTTCTTGTGTGATGTGTTTTTTTATTCATATACAAAAAATTGTTCTCACCAAACGTCTGCCTTCCGGCCGTACCCCTCTCCGCTGATGACCTCTGGGCTCATCCAGTACGGCGTTCCAGTAACAGAACGGACCCCAGTGCTGGACATGCAGATGGTCTGAAGCCGCTTACTGGCACCAAAATCTCCCAGCTTCACATTGCCGGCTGAATCTCGCAGGATGTTGGCACCTGAACGCACCGGAGGAAGTGACCAAGGAGAGCTGTTAGCATGCAATGGACCGAAAGATCTTTGATCCAGTTTTCCTCTTGTTACATGACTAAAAGAAGATTTACAAGCTATAACAGTTGATCCAAAATTATTAAAACATGACAACGTTTTATTCAAATAGCTGCACTACAAATTGAACTTTGATATAATAAACTTCTGTTTATTTTAATTGCATTTCAAATAGGTGACAAAAAAACACACACACACAGTATTTGACTATGTGAGGTCTAATGCCAGACGGTACCTTTGATGTCCCTGTGGACGATCATGTTGCTGTGCAAGTAGGACATGCCCTCCAGAATTTGTCTGGTATACTTGCGTGTCACATTCTCTGTCAAAGCCCCATAAGCCTTCAGCTGGTCTTTGACTGAACCCTGAGGGTCAAAGACCACAGCACCAGTGAGTTACACTGCACTCTACATCACAACCACAGTATTGCTAACAAACGGGTGTGTGATGACGCATTATAACCCTTAAAATAAAAATAATTTACTTACAATAGAACGCATTAGCTGTGTTAGAGCACCAAAATGAAAATTATGCCATCGATTATTCACCGTCATGTCATTCCAACACTTTATGTTGTTATTTTTTCTGTGGAACACTAAAGTAGTAGATTCCATAGATATTTCTCATACAACAACACTTTGTATTGATATGAACTGAAATCATATTTGATTTGAGAGTTGCAGAGGAGGCAAAGATTATCTTTGAATGAGACTTTTTCATCTGTTTACAAAGTGTCATCATATGAATTCAGA